CCGCCTGCCCCTCTGGCTGGTCAAGATTTAACCAGAGGTAAAATCCCTTCTCCAACTTTGAGAGTGTTCATCCTCCCAGCACCCTCTTCATGACAAAGGAAGAAGAAGCCCTGTGGTCCCTGTCATTCCCGAGCAGCCACGGCCTGGCCCACCCTCCCCTCTCCAGGGGCCCTCGCCTCTCACCCCTCACCTTGCTCAGCCCGTTCCACTTGTCCACGAGGTGGATCCTGCTGATGTTCTGGACCCCCGTGAACACCGTGAAGAGCCCAGAGTCGGAGTTGTTGAGCTGCAGACACAGCAGGGAACAGCATCGTTAAGGCTCGGGCCTACCATTGAGCTCGCCTGGTCTGAACATTCTGGGCTGAGCCCTCCTCCCCCTCCACCAGAAGGAAAGGGCTCCCGGCATCTGGTTCACTGCCACATGCCCAGTGTCTGGGGACTGAGAGGAGGCTTGGGAGCTTTCTAGGAGGAACGGTCCCAGGTTCTATGGCTGCAGTGTTCCACCCTCCCTTCCTAACTCCGGGAGAGCCTAGCTTTCCTCCCACGGGAATGGCAGATCACCCCCACCATAGCCTACTCCAGCATAAAATAAAACGGGGCCAGGTCAGCTCCCTGAGCAATGAAAAAGCAGAAGTGGCATGTCACTTGGGGGGACGCTTTAAGGACTGTGCACACGCCTTTCACCAGGCTCTCTGCCACCACTATAGCAGCCAAGGAGGTGTGTGTCAAGACAGCCTCCCTTGGCCTGGGTCCCCAAGTGACTACCACAAGCGAGGGTGCCCCAGTCACCCACACTGGACATGGAGTGCAAGCAAAGGAGTAAGTCCTGGTTGCTCTAAGTCATGGAGATTCGGGGACTGCCTATCACAGCAGCACAACCTGGCCTGTCCTGACCGTCACGGTTTGTGGAACATTTCTTGATGGGGGCCCAGGCTTTGGTGCTTCGAGAGCATTTCCCAGAAGCTGGTTCCTAATCCCAAAGACATGCAAAGCACAAAATGGTCTGAGTGACTAAAGGAAATATCTGGAAGTGCTTTGCAGGGTGAAGCACACTGAGGAGCTCCAAGGTTGCCCAGCCAAGTGGCTGCACCCATCACAGACCTCCAGGGCAGGACCCAGCACAAGTCCCTGGCCCAGCCTCCCATGTGTGTCTGTCACCTGCCCATGTAGAGCCAAGAATAACCAGAGCCACTACATAGGGGAGAATTAAAGGGGATCATGTGCAAAAAGGGCCAGGTACGGTGCCCCAGGCACAGTAAGAGCTCAAAATGCTGGTCTTTATTACCATTATTATTGTTATTATTAATAAATCATCACTCAACAGGATCCCTAAATGATCATGATAATGGACAGAGAGCATCAGAAACTGCGAGTTACTACCCAAAGCCCACTCTCTCCTTACTCCTTCATAACAAAACCCAAACCATACTCAGAGTATCAGCACACCCAGCTAAAAGGCTACCTTTCCAGCTTCCCCTGGAGCTAGGTGTGGCCACGTGACTCAGTTCTGGCCAATAGAAAGGAAGTGGACGTTGGTTTTCTTCCTCCCTAAGAGGGAGGCAACTGGGACATGCTGTTTTACCCCCGATTCCTCCATCTGCTCCCCAAAGCCCCACCAATTCTTCCTTCCCGCTGTGCTACCTGGAATGTGATGTGATCGCTGACACTCTAGCAGCCATGTTGGACGATGAGGTTATCTTGAGGATGAAAACCACATGCCAAGGATGGCAGAGCAGAGGAGTAGAAGGCTTCCAGATCACTTAAGACCATGAAGCCACCACACCAACACTGAATAGCCTACCACTAGACTGTTCTTGTGAGGTTTTCATTATATGTGGTCAAACGTAGATTATACTAAACTAGGGACTTTGTAATAACTTTCGTTTGCAAAGCACTTCAGGATTTACAAGATGCTTTTACAGAATCATGCCACTTAGCCCAAACTTGCTAATTTACCCACACAACAGGAGCCCATCACCCTTGACAAAAACATACTATCTATCACATGCAGCAGCACAATATCCCCCCCCAGCACTCTACTCTGATCAACGGAGACCAGAGAGATGGCTGAGGCTGGAGCAGTCCCAAGAACTCATTGAAACCTGCAGTGAGGGAGCCAAGGTCAGGGTCAGACCCTCCACGGACGAGATGTTGGCTCCAAAGCCCAATCAGTGACCCTACCAGGTTGCCAGGAGTCAAGATTAAGAGTCAGCTTGTGATCTTACTCCCAAGCAGCCATGCCCCCTTCTTCCGGCAAAGCCTCCAATTTGCTAAGCTAAGGCCCAATCACATCATTTGAGCCTGGATCAAGCTGTACCTGAATCCAATCCTAGCATTTTCAGTTCCATGAGCCCCAACATTCCCCATTTCACTTAAGCCGGTTTGAGTCAGGTTCTCGGCCACTTACAACCCACAGCTGCTAGACCCCCAGCCAGCTACAAAGTAAGCTGGTGACCAGTGTCCAGGCTGTGTGAGGGGAAGACAGGACACAGGCCTGAATCTTTGGCTTCTCACCAGGCCACACGTACCTCAGCAAATAATCCGAACTTGTCCTTGAAGGGGAACATGCCTGGAAAGTACTTGTTGATGAGGTTCACAAGGGGGTCCTGGTAGCCCCACATGATCTCCCCCACAGTGCGGTTCATGAAGGCACGTTCGCCGAGGGTGGTGAATGCCAAGGTCATGATGAGCTTCAGGGTCATGGGCTTATTCTCCATCATCACCGCCGCACCCTGCAAGGCGAAGGGACACTAGTGTCAGAGGCTGGAGGTGGCTGGCCCATCCTCCCTCGGCCCCAGCTGGGCCTCACGGCGAAGAGCCCATGAAGCAAAATGCTGGGGTACAGGAGGCCCCTGGAGTGGCCACGTGGGGCGTCCGAGACACCAGAACCACCCTCTGCTCCTCCAGTGCCAAGGCCACATGTGCTCCCAAGGACCCCTTCTCCCCCTTGCACCCCACTGGACTCAGGCTGAGTGAACTCCAGCCCCAGTCCCAGAGGTGGGCCTGTGGCTGAGCCCCCAACAAGACAGCCCCTTTTGGAGATCTCAGAAATGTAAATTGAAGAGGAAAAAAAAATACTTTGGCCAGGACTTCCAAACCAAGACAGGTGGACCCACCTGGGAAACTGAGAACCCACGGAGGGTGGTGGAGACAGCACAGGGCTGAGAGCCACCCACCAGGAGTGAGTCCTCACGCTCTGACCACCTCAGGGACTGCTCTCTGCACAAGGGGCAGGCGGGAGGAGAGACAGGGGACGAGGCCAGGGTGCGAGGTGGCGGGGGCCACAGGGCAGCCTCACCAAGACCAGGATGTTGGGCATGACGATGTAGTCACTCTCCGAGCCTTGGGACTTGGAGGGCTCGAACTGGAAGGTGCGGTACTCGAGGAAGGACACGGTGTCATTGTTGTTGAAGGTGATGTTGGTCTTGTGCCTGAACTCCCTGTGGGGGAAGCCGGTGGGTCAGACGCCTCGTCCTGCTATGTGGGATGTTTCCCTTGTACTCGCCTGCAGTGCCTGCCTGGGAAGCAGGGGCCCTGGATGTCTGTGCACACCTCCGGCCCCACAGCCAAAGCTGAGCTCGGCCCCTCCGCCAAATCTGTCCCTCCCTGCGCCTGCCCACTGCGGGACATGGTGTTGCCACCCAGCCGGCCTCGTTCTGCTCTCCCTCACCCAACACGGCCATTGCCTCTCCATATACAGAGGGAAGTAATCACAAGCCCTACTTCATGGGGCAGCTGTGAGGATTAAACAATCCCCACAGTAAAGCAATCAGATACCCGGAAAGCAATCAACACAGCCGCCGGGTGCAGAGAAAGCACGAGGTAAACATTGACTGCCGTGACTGTTGCCGCTGCTGTCATTATGATCTCTCATCTCTCCAAGCCATTCTCCACCATCCAGAAGAATCTTTGAAAAATGGAAATCAGGTCG